TTAATGGTGTGTCTGGGACCATTCCTTTGTTAGGAGTTCTTTAGAAGCTGAACTGCTGTACTGTGCTGTAGTCAGTAGCTTTCCTTGGAGGCCTTCCTTAGCTGTCCTAGGAGCCCAACATCCCCTGCCCCCAAATCAGAGGCTTGGTTCTTTCCAATGATAACAAGTTCTGAGGCCTAAAGGAGAGGTGCAAAAACTGCTTCTTGCTTGGTGGCTACAGCATTCTTCTGGAGAAGATTGCTCAGTGTTCCAGGCCTTTCAACCTGCACTACTCCTCATTTCCATTGAATCTTTAAAAGAAATAGCCAGAGATACAAAAATCAGAACTCTGCTTTGGAATCTAGGTACCTAACATGTAGTTGTCTCGGCACTGGACTAGCAGATATGCAGGTTTGTACTGCAGCAGGTCCCAGATTGGCAGGAAACATGACTCCTGAGATGTTTGATTGCAGCTGTCCATGGGGCATTCATATAAATAAAGCTGTTATAACTGAATTTTTTTTTCCCTCTCCTGAGGCAAACTATGGTAAAGTCATAGTCAAGTCCAATAGCTTACAATGCAGCTGTTATTTCTAGTAACCTATATGCAGCAATTGCTAAGTGACAGCATTATTAATTACACTTAATTTGACTGCAGACCCTTCCATTCCTTAACACTGTGTCTGCCTTCAGTGTCCTCAGAGTGAGCTGGATACTGAAACAGTGAAGAGCATCTTAGCAGAGTACAAAATTCACAATGCTGATGTCACACTGCGCAGCGATGCCACTGCTGATGACCTCATTGATGTTGTTGAAGGGAACAGGTACTGCTGGGACCCTGGGTTTGGCACACTTGCAATTTATATTCCAAAGAAAAGAGGAGTGTCTGAGGTTGGCTTCCCACGGAAGCTAAGCTAGCAATGTGCTATCAACAAGTGCTGTTGAGCACCTATATTAAAAAATAAAGCTTTTCTGAAGGTAGCAGGGGACTGCTGCTAGGCTGCTGTCATGGCATTTCCTTCTCTTTGCAGGGTTTACATCCCGTGCATTTACGTCCTAAATAAAATTGACCAGATTTCCATTGAGGAACTAGACATTATTTACAAAGTCCCCCACTGTGTACCAATATCTGCTCATCATCGCTGGAACTTTGATGACCTGCTGGAGAAAATTTGGGACTACTTGAAGCTAGTACGAATGTGAGTCCAAATTGCTGCCTACTGTGGTGTTAAGTGTGAGGCTGAGACCAAAGAATATCTCAGGAATGGATGAATAATGATTATTTTACAATGGTTTTCTACTGGCTTAGACCTCTGGCTTTCAAATTACGTCATCTTTGTCACTGAATATGTTTAACCTGTAAATCTGAGATTGTGCTCCTCTTGTCTGTTCTGTGATGGACAGTTACCCAACAGCCACAAGTGCTGTTTTGAACTTCTTGTAGGGGAGTTAAACAAGGACCTTGTGAAACCAAGTCCGAGGCACGTCTTAAAAAAATTCCTGAAAACATAGAATTCTGGTCAAACTTAGTGCATAATTGTGGATTTGAGAGACAGTCCTCTAGAAAGAACTGAATTTAGCTCTTCATCTGGCATTTCAGATATGTTAACTATAAATTATCCCAGGCTGACCTCATACTTCAAATACATTTATTTGGGTGAATTGATGAATTAATCTATTAACACTCATAATGCAGTAATTTTAGTCTTTTAAACTTGTATCTGTCTTCTTGTGACAATATAAAACACATAATAAAATAGGATTTACTATGTGTAGGTATTTGGACTATAGACTTTGTCAGGTTTTCTCCTAGTTTACATTGAGTTTTTCCACACAAAAAAACAAATCACAAGTTAGAACCATAACACTGTAGATGTTCTTTTCAATCAAGTATTCCTGTTTCACTTTTTAAGCTCACTAGGGATAAAACTTTGCAATTACAAAGGAGAATGTCCTGCAGCCATTGATCACCCAGATGCATTTTCAGCTTAAGAGCACCAAACAATTTAGAGAGGATCTGTTGTTACTACTGCAGTAGTGGAACTCAGCACAAGTGCCTAGGGTGACAGTGGGAATTACCTATAAAATGCCATGATGATGGGCTGAAAGAGGTTTTGGTATTGACTGACTGTCCTATCTGCCTTACAGCTACACCAAACCTAAAGGGCAGCTCCCAGACTACACCTCTCCTGTGGTACTACCCTACTGCAAGACCACTGTGGAGGATTTTTGCATGAAGATTCACAAAAATCTCATTAAAGACTTTAAATAGTAAGTAATGTGGTAAAATAATAACTTTTAGAAAATAATCTGCCTCCTGGTATATTCATTGCCTTGTAAACTAGAAGGGAAAACAGGGTTTGATTTTTCATGTTGAATGAAATTGATCTGCCTATGATAACTAAAGCTGATACTTAATCACTATTTTGGTGCTCTTAGAACTCTTCCCTGGATAATTTTTTTTTCTGTGAGGAATTATTTATATTTGAAAGTAGGGCTAGATGATGCAGCATTACAGGCTGTTGTCCTGCACACACAAGATGACTTCATACTTTGTTTTGATCTGCTTATACTCTGGTTCACAGACCACTCACCCAGGTACTTGCAGGAGAATAAAAATAGCTCTTAAGCATTGCTTTCTGTATTAGCTTTGTGACAGAAATAGCTTGTTGTTATGCTGTTTATATATTATACTTCTAAGCCTTTTAAATACTATTATTTGTTCTCCTTTCAGTGCACTGGTCTGGGGTTCATCTGTTAAACACAACCCTCAAAAAGTTGGTAAAGACCACACTCTTGAAGATGAGGATGTTATTCAGATTGTGAAGAAATAAAGTTGTTCCAACATGGCTTGCCCCTGTGCCTGAAATGTCATCTAAACACAAGATCTTTGCAGTGGTTGCTGCTCTGCCTGAAGCCTCAATTAAATTCTTAAACACTTTTCCTAATGTTTCTTGTAAGCATAGGAGCAGGTTGCTGTGTGCGTGTGAACTGAGCTACTGCAGCTGTGTGGGGTTATCAGCCTTGACTGGAAGGGGCAGGGCAAAAGCTCAGATCAGTGAAACTCATGCACCCTCTTTACAGGTGGTTAGTTTTAGGAGTTCTGATACACTGCAGTCTCATTCCTTACACTGCACAATGGCTGTCCAGACACTGAAATGCAGCAATTCCATTGTGTCTTTTCATTTATGCCAGTTACCTTCAAACCAGGCTGTTTCTCTCTCCCCCACAGATAAACTGAATTTGAAATTTTCTGCAGATTCAGTTCAAACCACAGCTTTAGCTTACACAGACACAGTGCTAAGAATTAATCAATGTACTGATGTTATCATTTAGTTCAAGAGCAGCTGATACAGAGAGCTGGTAGAATCAACTTTATTTACAGAATGTTACTGGGAAAGTGTCAAGTTAAAAAAGTATGAAAACAATCTTACAAGGACAAGCTGGTGATTGCATGTTTTAACAGAGATTGTTTTAGGAACAACCACTAGAAGTATGGGTGACCCCCAACAGATTCCACATGGGAGATTTCAGCTTGCTATTTCTGTACAACATTGTCTCTGCTGGACTGAAACAAACCCACCACAGCATGCTGGCAATTGTTATAATACAGTCAAGTGATTCTTTTTTTCTGCTGCTGGTTTTGCAGTCAGTGAGACCTAAGAAAGAGCAAGTCCGTGAGAATTCTGGTTTTGCTTTCACCTTTTTTAAAAGAGCACAATGGCCTAAGCTAGATAGAGGACATGACAGCAGTACTAGACTCAACACAAGTGAGAAGGTGAAGTGAGGAACCATGCAGCAGAGGGATGGAAGAGAACATGTAACTGTTCAGGAAAGTGAAACAGGCTTAAAAGGAACATAGTATTTTAAAACCAAATATACACAGTAAGATCACAAAACTATCCCATCCTCCCCCTTTCAAGCCACAGAACAAGACTCCAAAGGCAAGTTTCACAGTAATTGCATCAGTAGATGCACACTAGACTGAAGACAGTTCTTGGGACTCCCTTCTCTAAACAGAGCTGAAGACAGTGTAGAACATACCACAACTCTGACTGAGGAGCTGAAGGGTGAGGATTCGGAGGCTCCATTTTGATGACCTTTAGTAACTGGTTTGAAAGATTAAAACAAGGGAAATACTGCAGCTGAACAAGGACCAGCACCAGCCCTTCTGAAAAAACTATGACCAAGCAGTACCTACAGTCTTCTTCACTTATGGCAGACTGAAGATCTGGGTTTATCATTCCTGTACCAGGTCCCATCCTCAAGGCTGTTCAAAGACTAAACAATCTCATTTGATGGCCAAAGTCATACACACAAGGAATCAGACCTTTGTTATACAGACAGCAAGATGTGGGCTTTTTACTTTTACACTTTAGCTACACTGAGTGCACAGTACGTGACAAGAATGTGAGAGGGAGACCTAGAGGAGATGAGCAGCAAGAAAAGGCAAAGCAACTTTATCCTGTTCACTCACACTTAAGATATGCAACTTTAATCTTAAGGAAAGTCCCACACGTACAATGGAGAAAGATCCAAACCAGAGGCACAACTAAAGCTCAACTGTTATCAGCTACTCTTATGTACAGCTGTATAGATTCAAAAAGGCTATTCTATGTGTATATATACAAAAGATTGTTTATACACAAGTCTGTACACAAGGGTCTATACATTTAGTTTTCTGCAGGAGGATTCCATAGCTGCTACCTCTACACTAGAGAATATCAGCACTTCATTCACATATCTTACAAAAACAAAAAATAGACACTTCCAGGATTAAACTGGCTTTGTCTTGCATCTAAATTTCTTCAGGCTTCACTATTCAAGCCATAATGGATCCTTTAGTCTTGATGCAGACATGAGACCAGGACAGGTGCCATGTGCTTTTAGTCTCTCAAAAAGAAATTCTGCACAGAGTGCTAAAAATAAAAGCCCCAAAAAACAAACAGAGGTGAAGTCCTGACTATGGACATTTTTATCCAGTCTAAAGAATCACAAGTGTCCCACCCAGTGGTCACTGTTCACTGACGATATTCCAGTTCATCTACACTGATGACTTTGGATGGCATGGAAGGGAGAGGCTGCTGCAAAACATCTGAACCAAACCACTTTGCAAGGCCAATGGGAGACCCACTTCTCTGGCTGGGGCGATGGTCAAGCTGTGAGTGCCCATGAGATAATCCAGTCCGAGACAGCACATTCTGAGGGGTTGTTTGTGCACCAGCTGGTGATCCCTGTGCTCCAGTGCCTGTGAAATGTAAAGCTGTTAGAGGTGGAGTAAAATGTTCACCTGACACTGAGATTTGCCCTAGAGCAATCACCTGATAAAGCATGTGAGCTGGATGTGGCTTCACTCATTCTGTCAGCCCCAGAAATCCAGAGGCCACATGTCTGGTCTCATTACGACTCCCATAAACTGCCTGACTCTGCCAGATCTGAACACAGTATTAATGGAAGTTTTAACTGGAAGACCACATCAAATAGCATTTTATTTAAGTGGGTGGCCTCTCTCACCCAGCAAGGAAGGAAAGACTACACATGCTGCAAAAGGCAAATCTGTCAATAGCAACACATCTTGAAACTGAATGCTCCACTTGGCCTTTCTTCTGGCATAAGAGTCTGCAGTGGCCAAAACTCTGATACACACACAACACTGATGACAAACTGAAACAGGCCAACAAGTACAGGACCTGCAGCAGGCTAGTCAGAGTTCTAAACCTCACACTCCTGTGTCTTAGCCTACCTGATCTCTGCAGCTGCTGCTGCATCATGGCAAGCTGCAAAGGTGTCCCAGAGCGTGGGTTCAAGATGTGATGGCTGGCTGTTGGTAGTGGGTAAAAAGGTTGGCCAAGGATGGGAGCAGATATTCCCTGCAAGTGAGACAGGTCCACCCCAGGAGGAAGCATACCTGTTGAACAAGAGTGAGGAAAATTCTTACCTAATAAGCATAAGGAACTTAAAGCAAAACAATATTATATAGATGGGTTGGAATCTACTGCCTAATTTTAAAGGCAAGTTTTGATGTAATAATTGTTACCAGCACCAAGTAGCAGTTTGTGCTGTTCCTAATGCAAAGTCAGTCTTAACAGAGAACACACATTAAGGGGAAAAAGTATGGATTACCTGCTTGCAGTAGAGGGAGGTGCTGCGGATGAACCCCCTGCGCCAGCATTCTCTGGACCAATCCTGGATGCAGTTGATGAGCAGGTCGTACAATTGGTACATGGGGAACAAGGGGTACTTGATGAACAGGACGAAGAAAAGGGCCTCCTGGTATTGGGGAGGCCATTGTAGGAGTCTTTCTACCAGCTGATTTAGGCCTGTAGTCTTGCTCTTTGGTGCAACGATTTGCTTGGGCAAGAGGTGTGGAACATGCAGAGCGCTGCAGTGCAGGTAGTTTGGTACCTAAGGTGGGCAAAGTTTCTTGATCTGCATTCTCCACAGAACTAGACAGTAGGTTATCTGTAGCTAGAATTGAATACAACTATTATAGTCCACAGCTAGAGATTGCACCTAATTAAAATTAAAGCTAGTGACTGGATTTGATAGCCAGATTCAAGGACTAGCTGAACTTTAATAATATGTATATTTAATAGGAAACATCTGTCTTTCCTGGAGGCTTTTGGCCAGATTATTTGGAAATGGGAAGAAGCATTATGTTCCACAAAAATCCCTTGACAGCAAGCTTACATTAGGTCAGAATCAGCAGTAACTCCACCTTTAAAGCTTGTTTTTCCTCCTTCTTAAAAATTATTAACAAGCAATGTGGATGAGTTAGTCCCAAACAAGATAGGAGGTACTAGTGATCCTGCTTAGACGAGATTATAATTTGGAGCTGTGCCAGAAGTCTAGCCTGAAGTGGTTTCTGTTTAGATGTGTCTGGGGGTTACCAGTAGACTTCTATGCTTGACATCTGCTTAACAAGATTTGGAACACCAAATAACCTGCAGACACTACTTCCACAGACCATCTAGATCAGTTAGACAATGCCCAAAATCTTAGAATTATCTGTTACCAGTTGAGGTAGCAGGAATAGTTGGAATGCTAAAAGGAAAAAAGTCAAGCATGTAACAGGGACTGCAAAGCTACTTTGGTAGGTACCAGTACTGAAGTACAATGTCATGACAATCAGGCATGTTAGTACTACTGGGTTAGGCAAGTTTCTTTTAATAGCCACTTATATCAGTTAGGGTGACAAAATGCTTCCTTGATGTACTACATTGAAGAGCTTAATTGGTCTCAGCTTGGATTGTTCAGTTAAAGATGTCTCAAGAGATCTGTAAGTTGCTTGTATTCAATTACTGCTACAGAGAGATATGGAGGCATTATTTTTCATGTGCTTGTTGAGACCAGTTGCAAAGAAACTTCTGGTCCAGGCCTCTTAAGCTGACAGATAAGAAAATTTACAGTGCTGGAAGGCTGCACCTGGAAGTGATCCTTCCATAGCTCTAACCCTCTTATTATAGGTGCCATTCCTATACCCTCCTCCTGATTTCCATGAATCAGTAATGTCTAAAGTTAGCCCGGGCATATTATGTGCTGAAGCTCTTTGATTTTATTCCAAATCCCCTTGGTGTGGTACTTTAAAGCCATTACAATACCTTCATTTGGCCTCTGATTTTCATCTTTGCCATCACCAACTTTCATTTTCCCAGAAACTGGCTCCTCTTTGCTTTTCTCCTTGCTCTCATACATCTTGCGAATCACCGAGGTAGGTGTAAAGGAAGGAGACAGCTGCAGAGAGCACAGCAAGAACCAACACCTTACTCAGTGCTGATTATTTGGGCAACACTATCTTAGTTGTGGGTGGACACCAATTCTAGCACATCCTTTCCATTTAAAGCTCTTTTCAATCAGCCACTGTATGCTCATCATTTTACTTCACCTCATTTCATAGATTTATTCTATAGTTTAAGCACTTCTCTTAAGCTTTTGCAGAAGTACAATGCCTGTATTGAAGCCAGCACATGTTCTCAAAGTTCAGTGTACCTAAACAGGCTTGGAACTAAACATATGAGCTGTAGTTGAAACTGCAGCTGTTTTCTCTTTGCTATTGGTTCAGAACAGCAGCTCAACAGGAGTTCCTGCAGAGGTGCCTTAGATGTATTAACTCAGGGATCTGCAGGAAACTGTTGCCTCATTCATTTTCCCCCATCCAAGGTTACACAGCATCTGTGGCAGCCACTCATTTCATTTACAAAATAAAAGTACTTTAGCAGCTGAACATCTGATAGTCCTGAGCCACAAACAAGTATCTGACCAATTAATTGGAAAATTCAGATCAAAGCAACATTCTACACAGTCCTGAAGGTAGCGAGGCAAGAGCTTGGCTTTCAGATTTTATTTTCAAAGCGACCCTGAAGCTCCCAGTAATGGTTTAACAGACACTTAGGTCAGTCGCTTCATACCTAAAGACCAGTGTTCTCTGAAGTGGCTAAAAGCTTTCAGCTCTTGTCTTCTAAAAACTTAAAAACACCAAAACAAGGGCCTGAGTTTTCAGACTTATCTTCCCTTGGATTCAGAAGGCCAGGTAAAGCCAATATTAACTGTGCTTTTTTAATTTTAGATAAGTGTGTCAGAAAAGTCTGTTTTCCAGACATTCAGTTAAGTATGAACTCATCCTTGTATCATGTGGTCACCAATATAACAAACATTACCTCCTTTTCTCCCATTGATAACAATTGCTACAATCTAGTGGGTGTAGATACTTTCAGAGCTTTTCCTACAATCATGACACACTAGGTACTGACCATGCTAGTAATGGATGCTGTAGGGGCTGGAGATGATGCATTCCCTCTGTGTCCTGGTGCAGGTGACTTGGTCATTCGCTGCTGCCTGTTAATGGAAGAGAAAGTCAGAAGCAGCTCTGCTCCAGGCACAGAATGAAAGGCAGGAGCACCAAGAACTAACACAAGCTTGACTCGCTAGCACTAATATCCAGAAGGAAAACACACTAGAAACCTGTTGATAGTGTACCTCTGAAATGCTGCAGCCAGATACTCACCTGTTTCTGTAGCCATCTCTGGTTTTGTCCATCTGTGGTTTACCAAAGCCATGCTGGTAGAAGTTTGCTGCCTGTATGGCCAAGTCATGTGGTAATGCCAGTCCCTCTAATGCAGCCTGCTGTATTTCCAGAGGATTCATCTAAAGCAGAGTTGCACAAAAACACACATTAAAAGACAAAAAAAGTATCAGCTTTGATTTGAGATCCTGAAGGTTTACTGCTCTAGCCACTAATGCCTTCACCAAGTGTCTGTCCACCAATAGCCCTGTTTTATTGACAGACAATAGAAGTTTCAAGGCATCTTATACTTGAGGTACCCTAAGACTGATCCAATTGCAATGAGGTTTTGAGACTACTAAATTAGACTTTGCATCCTCACACTTAGAGCAAACTTGAAGCATAAACATCTGAATGTTAACAGCTAAATATGTGCTTCCAAAAGTTAGTTCTAGACCACACAACACAAAAAAGTGATGAATACACACTAAGCAAAAAGCATTTCATCTAACCTGTGCAGCAACTGGACTCATGGGCTTCCTTACACCTGGAAATGGATCACCAAGCAATTGCTGAGAACCTTGTCCAAACCCTAAAGAATATTCAACAGTTGCATTTAAAAGAACTAACAATTTATTTCAATACATACATGCCCAAGTTAAACAATTCTACATGAATTAAGCTCATCCTTTAAGTCTACACAGAGCTATGACCCTTCCTTTGCACCAGGATGAAGAGCTACAGGGAAGCCACCAGTGATGTTTTGCAATACAAATGGCCAAGTAATCCCTAAAAATTGGCTTCTTATACAGTAGCTGAGCACATTTCTGCATGCCAGAATTTACTGTGAGGTCTACTTGATCCCTCACAGACATTACATTTTTGGAGACTAATTTAACATTCAAAACAAATAAATAAAAAGGCCAACTTGCACTCAGAGGCAGACACTGACCTAGTTGCCCACCAAACGCTGGGAAGTTGTTCTTGTTCTGTAAAGCATTCTTCAAAACAAAAGTAGAAAAGAAAACTGTTTTGCAACCAGTCTCACCAATGGGTGAAGATATCCTGTGGCGCAGGTAATCTGCAGAGGCAGCTCGAGTTGGAAACACAGGTGTGATGGGGGGAGAAGGTGCCCTCTGTGTCAGTAAAGAGGCTGTGGGTTCCAAGCCACCTATCAGGCCACTTAAGACATTTGATGAAGGTCTAGTAATGGGTGGACCAAGAAGTTCCTAAGAATAAGTAATGGAAGAATATACAGAATATGAACTATTTATATGAACAAGCTCATTGTATTAAACTACATGCTACACTATTTATAGCAAGTTAGAGAGACAAGATGGACTTGTGCAACTAGATACACCAATTCTGGATTGCCCTCAGAATTAGGCACTTAGCCAGACTCTTCACTTTCAAGTTGCAATCATGGGAAATGACAAAAAATTTCTAAGGAATCTGAACTAGTGGCTGGTTCTTTTCTCTATAGGGAATAATGTCTGATAATTGCCTTAAATGTCTTATTTTCAAGTATTTGTTTTCCTGTTGGGGCTGCCCTTCTACCTGCTTTCCCCCAGTAACAAGTACCTGCAGAATATTCTTTGATAGAGGTTGACCTGGCATCTCTGGAGGTGACATTAAGTGGCTCTCAAGGCTCTAAGAAAATGAAAACATTATAAATTAGATGCAGATACAACAAGCATCAGACTCTGTAAGACACAAGCCACATTTGTCTCAGTGACAGAAATAATTTCACCTCTTCTGTTAGAATCAGTTTATGCATCAAATACATTTCCAAAGTCAGGGACTGAGCTGGCTCATAAATAATCCCTAAGAAAATGCCTCGTGCTGGATTGCATACAGGTAGTTTAGTGTGCCTTGTTCAAGTCTGAGTAAAATATATTAATTTATATCACTGTATAAACTGAAGATGAAACATTTGGCATAAAAATTACACATTAACAAAAGGAATGGCCAGAAATTAACACAGTCTGAAATTAACACAGTCTGAAAACAGTCTAAATTTCTCACAGGCCAAATTTATACTCACTATCTTTTAGTTAAGTGGGATGAAACTAAAAGTCCTTGGACAGGAAAAACAAATGCTTTAGACTCAGTTGTTAGAAGTATTTTATGGTGCCAGAAGCACTCACTGATAGCTTCAGGGTCAAACATCCTGTTTAGGCAGCTAGTGGCTGGATGAAATTTCATACAACAATCTCTCCCAGTCTAAAGCTTAGTATCATCTGTTGTTTAATATTAATCTTTCTGCTAACAAGTACTCAGTTTAGTTTTATCTTGGTGCAAGTAACTTTAAAATCCAAGTTCAAGATATTAGAGTGTGCACTGACATACCTTTATCAAAAGAAAAGTCACTGAAGTAAGACATCTGAGCCCCAGGCAAGCGTTAATTGTACCTACTACAAGCACTTTAACAGAGATTCCTTTTAATAGCAGCACTGAAGCAACCATTAAACACTAGCAAGTTTTCCATAAAGAGTGGACTGATTCAGTCTGTTTTGTACAGATTATTTGTTTTTATTAAATAAGGTTCAGACAAGGATGAGTTTGAGTGTAAGAGAATGTTAAGGCACCATTAAAAAAGTCCTCTAAAGTAGGAGATTCAGCCTTTTCATCATACAGGATCTTTCTGGGGGGCAAGTCTTCATAGTCTGCAAGTACAGATATTACTCAATTGGACTAAAGGTTCACATATCTACTTTCAAAGTAGCAATTATGAAACCTCTCAGACAGTATTAGAGTTCTGGGGCTTTCAGAAGCTTAACATGAAATTGAGCCCATGAACTCTGAACTGAAAAAGCCCCACTTTTAATTACTTTGGCTGGGGAAAAAAAATTACTTAAGCACCTCCTTTATTTCTCCTTCCAAGCAACAATATTTAAAACGTAAACCTATATTTAATGCTGCTGTATCCAGTCAAGGCTCACATTATCAGAAGGGTTGTCTAAGGGGTTTCTAGCTCCTATCCCATGTCTTAGACACAGATGCATTTAGAGTTCAGAAAAAAAACAGGTGTCTGCTACTTACATTGACTTTGGGCTGTGAAGGTAGAGTCCCACTTGCCTTCATACTGCTGACTAGTTTGTTAAATGCAGTCATATCTCCATCCTTCTTGATCTGTCTGGAGCCAGCAACATTTAATGCTTCCTCCATTTGCTCAGCCATAAATGGAGTAGCAATTTTTCCCTCCTGATCCACTTTCAGACCTTTTAGCCCAGCTTCAACTTCTTCTACTGAAAGTACAACTCCTGAATGTGCTGAGAAATACAGGAGAAATACTGGTAAACCATGGTTCTCTGTTTACAAGTGAGCTAACAATTCCTTTGCAGGTGTTGAATGCAAGTTGTTTGGAAACAAGAAGCAGCCAAAACCTTACCCTCTGATATTCATACTAGCTGTCAAACCTTGTCTGACCTCTGATTAGACTGATATTCTAATACCCAAATTAGTACTGCCATGCATAACTACAGGCATGAAAGACTCCACAAGAACCTGTTTAGGTTTCAACTGGTAAGTTCTCCCTAGTGTTCATTTATCCCACAAGACCTTTCATTACTATATTTTACAACTTCACCTGCTTTCAACAGGGAATATTCAGCTGAACAGAGTTTATTCTCTTTCAATTAGAAAAGTTCCGTTTATCTAAAACTCCAGGAGACTAGGTGGCCTTACAGCCTCAGTGTATGCCACATCAAATTGTCTGAAGCTATCCTAAGTAGAGAGAATACATACCTGGAAAAATTTAGATACTTTAGAGACTCAGTTACACATTCAGCTTGGTGGGTGTAAAGTCTTAAGTAGATTTTTTTTGCTCAGAAATTAAAGCCACTATAGAAAGATTTTGTTGGCATAACCAGAATGAGGTACAAGGGTTATTAAGCAGTACGTTTTTCTTGTATGTGCATATTTATATATCTACCAGCACCTGACATCAAGGCTAGACATGCTTTATGGACCAGCTAACACACATCACAAGGTATGACACCTTAAGAGAAAAAGGAAGAAGAGACAGGAGCATGCCATGGGTTGCTGTAGCAGATGTTGGCCTAAAGAAAGAAGATTTACTGGAAATTTGGGCAAGAAGGTGGAGGAAAGAAACAATGATGCAGACATGCAGTATGGAACATGAAGAAAAGCATGATGTTGGTGGAGAGGAATTGACCAGAAAACTCCACAACACTTGAAGAACTCGACAGCATTTTATGGGAATACAGAACCCACATCAGGTACTTTCAAGTGAATGGAAGCTTCCCCATGATTTTTGTTCCTTCATCCTTAATTTGTGAGGATCAAAGTTTTAAAAGCTTTTAGTAGGAAAATCAGACTAAGCAGAACACATAAAAGACTTGTAGCTCCATTTAAGTAAAATTAAGAAAAAGTTCTCTACACATTAGCCAGCACTCCCTGCTCCCAGGCTGGATGCTCAAGAATACTTGCAGTGCTTGGATGCTTTCCTGCCTACCTACTTCACACAAACCACGGAGTAGCATTACTTTTTGTTCACTCCAGTTTACATGGCAATACATGCTGCTTGCCAAAAAGAAATCAATTTGGAATTAGAACTTGAGATTTCAAAGAACACATGCATTTTGTACCCTCCATGCATGCTATGGGCCAGACATGCAAATTCCTAACTCAGAGGTGCCAGTGAATATTAAGTTTAAAGTCAGCCCTGAACCCCGTTTGCTGATGCCAGCAAAAGTGAATTCTAAGACTAAGTTCCCTGGAATGCTGTGATTCTAGCCAAGTGAGCCTAACAAAGACAGAGCTGTTCCTATGTTGTACCTCTATGTTAATTATTTAATTAATGTACTAACAATGAGCAAAGACCACTTTGCTTCAAGTGCTAGCACCAGTCTTGAGAAGTTTATAGAAGGCACTTCAATAAATTGACATACTCAAGCCACTGTTTATCTTTTCAGATTCTGATTCCTAATGGATCAATGTGATCCATTATAGATGATGCAACAATTACTGACACTAAGTTTTTGGTAAAGCCAAATGCCACAGTTTCAGAGCTGACATTACCAGTCTCCAGTATGAAAAACTTATGTAAATGCCATAGACAGAGCTGGAAACTCAGATCAAGACTTGTATCATCTTATGATTTTTACTGGCCAGTAAAGCAGTCTGACAGAGCCCTGATGTCATCCTGTGATTAGGATGAAAAGAATCAGTGATGATATTGACACAACTGAGATCTGTTGAATATTGGGGTTGTGTAATTAAACCTTCCTACTCTGGACTTGGCAGATGAGGTTTCCAGAATACCAAGCCTCTTGCCTTGAGATACTGCATCACAAGAACTCAACAATATCTGGAGGCACTTACTGCTCTCTCTAAGCTTTTCCTTGTTGGCTGAAAGACTTGAGAGAAGAGGTTTTAAGTCCACTTTGGCTTTCTGTAGCATTTCTAGGATGTCCACTTTGTTTTCAGAGTGGTCTTCCAATGGAATGGGAGCAAAGTAGTTTCCAGAGTTCTGGCCAGGGGAGAGAATGGCTTGCTCTAGACCTGAAACAGCAAAACCAGGAGCACTGCGGCATCAGTTCACCAACCCACTGTCTCAAGATGAACATACACGGGTAACCAACTTCAATATGTCACTGAAAAGTTATGCCTCACACCCCTTGCCCAAGATCAGCTGGAAAGTCATCAGGAGCATGATGAGAACATTCATAAAAAAGAACTTACAGCTGCTTACTCTGAGAGCTTCCAAAAGAGTGTCAAGTGCTTAAACTGCAGGAGAACTCACTGTCCTAAAGCTTTATCTGCCATGTTCTTATTGAAGGAGTGCAAAAAATACAGAAGGAGGTTCTGACCCTGTATTGTCCTCTTGTCTTACCTGCAAGCCTCTCCAGTTCCTCATGTGGTGTAGATCTCAAGCTGCTCGACCGACTTCCAGAACGACTAGGATTAGAAAACCACCGGCTGAACCTGCTGGCAGACACTGAACCTTCCCCCAGCACATCCTCTATCATCTAGATTATGGGGAAGAAAATAGATCATCTTAACAGAAGCAATATCAGCAAGGTCTTTGAAAAGCTTTATAGTGCAATCAAGATTCTTCTGCTACAGATAAGATGCTGCTCCCAGAGTTTAGAAGCTCTGAACTTCTTTTTTTCTTTCCAATATATCAGCCTCTGCATTGTCAGTTAGCATAGGCCATCACACATTTATACCAATTACTTTTTCAAAGTAAAACTGTAACTGAAACAGCATAATCAGAGCATCCAAAGAGCTTTAATTGTGCTATTTAAAAGTGGATGTGAAAAAAAAATTGAGATGCATTTGCCATAATAAGTAAAATAAATTATAACAACTAGTAGTTCTGACAGCCAGGTGGCTTGAGGCTGGTCCCTGTCACTGCACAGGAGTACTCTGACCCACTGTATCTTCTGCAATCATGAATCTATTAAGCTCCAGCAGTGGCCAAGAACCATGCTTAGAAAAAGGGCAAGAACTACTCCCTGATTTGTGAGCATCCCACAAGGGCTGGGGGAGAAGGCCAGCAGCTAAAGGCTACTTGCTTGCACGTCCCATGCTGAGCCATTCTGGGACTAAGAGGGCTGCATCCTCCCAGTCCAAGGCTGTGTCCTCAGCAAAGCACTGGCAACTAGCACCTTCTCCCTCCATGCAGAGCTGAGGTCAGCAAGCAGTACCAGAGTTAGCCTGTCAGAAGTCACTACAATGAATAATGACTACTTCCTTCTTTGCTAATCATTCCAGTATTTCAAAAACAGGACATTATAAAATTTAACTCAAAGTAAAGCTCTTGCTGTCCTGCACACCAGTACCCAGTTAAAAGCCTGCTGAGCAGGCACAGATGCAGTTCCACTGTGCAGCACATTCACTGTCAGACAGAAGGAAGAACAGCTTTTGTCCTGCCAGAGCAACTGTTTTTTTTGAAAAAAGGAGCACTCAACACTACTTACAACAGCAAAACCAAGAGAGGTTAAAACATTTAAAACTAAATGGATCAATACTAACATGTCAGAAAAACTAAGATGGTTATGTCAGGAAATGTACAAATCTCCTCTAACAGTTGCCACAGACATATCACCAACACAGAAAAAGAACATTAAAAAATGCTCACTTGTGACAAATTATAACATCTGCCCACTAAAGTTTCATCAGCACTATTTTGTGACTTGTGAATTCTGTACTTTTGCAGGGAGTCACCATCTTCCTTGAAAAATCCAACTGCCAAGTCTAAAAACACATTTAGATCTTCTGCAGGGAGAGAAAACCCTCCACTGTTTGTCAAATTATTGCCACTGGATAATAAGCCCTTTTAATGCAAGCAGGTTTTCCACATTAAAGACTAGGACAGGATTCTGGGTTTTTTGAACTCTGCATCAGATCTGGTTTTTTGCTGCCAGAATGTTTTAGGGGTTTTTTTTATTTATTTCCTTCTACAACATTAACTCCAATTCTATCTACTAATCAGTTATACTATCTAGAATAGTCAAGAATAGCTTTTCTTCCTAGCAATGGAGAGGTCAGAAGAGAAACATCAGCAGTTTATGAAACAGACCCATGCTTAGTCAGCACTTGCTGAACCTGCTTACCCCTTCTTGTGTTGAAGGAGAAAAGGCATGCTAAGATACAGACCAGTCACAGGTTTTAGACTAAAAACAGTGAACCCTGACCATCTACCATCTATTACTCCAGAGATCAGAGGTTCAAGAACTGCACACTAACACCATAAGTATCAGAATCCTCACCAACGTGTGGCTGGAGGTAAAAATCCACTATTGGAAGAAACTTGTGGGCCAAGTGTCCTCTTCCTGCAGTCTTGTTACTAGCTCCTAGGTATCAGTAGCATCCCACACCTGACTTGGGCTACACAGTATTTACTGGTCATATTAATAACATTCTTCAAACATACTTCTGACTGGATTTATGGGCTATGTTTGTCTTTACAACCCAGCAGTAATAGTACTAAATAATGAATTAACCACTATACAGAGGTTTACATAAAAAGATTCAAACTCTCAGGCAAGCATCCTTTCAGCCACATAACTGGTATTGATATCAATGCAACTACATATTCAGCAGGTGTCTCCAGGCTCATTGCCTTCTAGGAAGCTTGCACAAATAACCATTTGCAGCATTTACTAGACTTAGCTGCCAAGTGCTCTTTTCAGCTATACTAAATTTGTACAGTGAATCTTCTCTAAGCATATCTGCAATACTTCCAAAGAAGGTCCATCTCAAGATGCTGATTTTTGAGTAATGATGAAAAGGAAGAAAAACTTATCAGTTAGTTTGTCTCATACACTTTCCTTGGAGATAAAACCAGTCCCAGGGGTAACATTTTAGAAGTAACATTCCACCACTCCAAGGCTAAATCTCTGCAAATTCATCTTACACTTACACACTGCATAAAACAAGTTTTGCAAAGCAAGAAGTTTTAGTCTTCACTGAACGCAGCAGCAGCAAAAATGCTTCTCATTAATAGAGTCAGTCTTAAAAAAAACCTCACCGAAGCCAGGCCAGGAACACTTTTATCCAAGTTAAAGAATTCATTGAAATCAAACTCTCCTGGAGCTGGTTCTTGTAACACGGCTTCCCTAGGAACTTCTTGATCTGCTGGAGTTTCATTGGCAAGAGCAGTCTGCACTTCATCCTCTTCTGCCACTCCACCATTGCATTCTATCCCTTAAAAAGAAAATAAATTGCTGAGTCACTGAACTTGACCATTTCCTGCAGGAACAGTGCCTAACAGTCAGTGTATTTGCAGAGGAATTAAAAGCACAGGACCAAGGTAATCTAGCCACCTACATGACACTTCGGCAGTTACACTGTGTGGGCTGCAGTCTGCCACAGCAGAAACCAGGACCCCTACCACTCCAGCACACAATCTTAACTACAGACTGGAAGCTATCTACTTCTAGAAAATCAGAACCACCACTAACATGTCAGCAACTGCATCCTGATCAACTCAGGAGATGCACAGATCAGATGTTGTGTCACACCAGGCAGATTGCTGTTAGTGAATTAACAGCTGCTGTTGTTTTTCCATCTAGAATCCTTTGGCAGCTCCTGCCTTTTTCCTAGATGCCTCGGAGAGCAGACTGCCTGAGAGCTGGTACTTAACATGAGATTCCATAACATTATCAAGATATGACAAATACAGCTCCTACTTCTCCAGCATGAGCAAACCATGTGTCATATTGAAGACTTAGCCAGCTTGTACAGGTGATGCAAAAAAGCTGTGACATGACTATGGGCCTTCTATATGTGAAACTCTACTACATTTCAGATAAGTGAATATACAACTAAACCCAAACTCTTTGGGTTTATTTGTGGAATTTCTGGCATTAAGAAGCAATCTTCTCTCTTGTCTCAGAGAAGTTTATACCACAGTCTACCATTACTATTACCACTCCAAAAGCTAAGTCAGACAACTGCAAATTCAGCTTAAAACTATATTACTGGCAGCTGTATGTCTAAATCAGTGTTCCTAATACCAGCATTACTACAAGAAAAAAAAATACTTCCAGTATCTTGGAGTATTAGCGTAAACCAATCCTTTAGCAACCAGCAGGATAGAGAAACAGACAAGACTCTTAATAGTTTGCAAATTCCAAGTACCATTCAGCATTCATACAAGTGGGATTTGATTGGATTTTTTGTTTGTTTGGGTTTTTTTGTTTTTCTTTTGGTGTTTTTTTTTTTTTGACCCAAACTCTTTGGGTTTATTTGTGGAATTTCTGGCATTAAGAAGCAATCTTCTCTCTTGTCTCAGAGAAGTTTATACCACAGTCTACCATTACTATTACCACTCCAAAAGCTAAGTCAGACAACTGCAAATTCAGCTTAAAACTATATTACTGGCAGCTGTATGTCTAAATCAGTGTTCCTAATACCAGCATTACTACAAGAAAAAAAAATACTTCCAGTATCTTGGAGTATTAGCGTAAACCAATCCTTTAGCAACCAGCAGGATAGAGAAACAGACAAGACTCTTAATAGTTTGCAAATTCCAAGTACCATTCAGCATTCATACAAGTGGGATTTGATTGGATTTTTTGTTTGTTTGGGTTTTTTTGTTTTTCTTTTGGTGTTTTTTTTTTGTTGTTTTTTTTTTTTTACAGTCTCAGTCCTGCCAGCCTTTTGGACAAATAGCATTTTATCACCTAAAGGTGCCTGCAGTTTGAAAGACCAGCCATAGGTTTTGCATCTCATGCTTCAAGATGATCAAAAGCCATGCAAGTTTAAGACTAAAGATTGACAAACTGCATCATCCTTTACACTTGTGTGGATCTAGAACAAGCACCTCTACACCCAGCAACATGCCACAGCAGCAGACAAGCTAAGTGTGCCAAACCTGCCCTTACCTTCCTTCAGCGAGGCCGTACGCCGCCTCGTGCGCTTTCTCCCTTTGTGATCTTCCTCCAAAATTTTATCATCAAAGCCTGTGAGCTCGATGGTTTCAGACTGACTTGTAGGACCAGCAGAGAACCACTCCGGTTCCTCTTCGGTGTAAGAGTCATTCCTTCTTCGCTCCCCAAAGACACGTTTGCTGTCACCAAATTCCCTCTGAAGCGGGATATTAAAAACATTAACCATTAAATGCTGTTTCCTAAGATTCCTCCCTGACCTCCAGAGGACACTACAGCCTTTACACGCTTGTTATGGGTTTTTGGGCTTGGGTTGTTTGTTTTTTTTTTTCCAGTTTAAATGCACACCCAGCATGCTCAGTAGGCTTTTACATTTAAAAAATGTCATATTTGAGTTTCTGCTTTATTACACTTAAGGCTACTGGTCTGCAAATGCCTGTATCATCTCAGTTCTGTATCCTGAGAGGCAGGCTACTGGTTCCTCCTATAAAACACCAGAAAGCATGGAAAGCTGCCATCTGCTGAGGTCAAAGACAATGCTTGCTGACAACTGCTAGGTCAAGAACTACGAATGAACCACTAGATTTTTTTTTAATACCTTGCTATTAAGCCTACCATAGGAAAGGCTGCAAGATACACAATATTAGCTCCCCATTGAGCTGGGACAGGTGCTTCTAAGAAAAAAAACATACATCCATGGAACACTTAATTGCTCTGTGCAGTCAGCCTGCCCCTGTTGTTTTTAGTGCAAAGTGTCCAAAACCCAGTTGAAAAAACAATCAGGAAAAGGAGGCACCAACCCTGAAGCGCTTATCCTTGTAGTCCCTCTCGCGATCCCGGTCTCTGGCATCTCTGGAATCACGTATGTCTTTTTCTCCCCCTCGGTGGTCTTTGTCAAAGTTACGAGAAGAGATGATCCTTCCACTGCCAATCCTGCGGCCACCGATCACGCGGACACCGTCGTTCTCCTTCTCCAAGGGGCTGCCAGAACGTCGTGAGCTCACGGCTGCGGTGACGTGGCAGCCGCCCCCAAAGCTGCGCCTCTGGGGACTTAAGACTACATCCAAGTCATCCTCCTTCACTCGCTCTCTTGGATCTACAAGTCAAAGATGACACAAAAAGCACGAAATTTAATGTATTGGTAAATCCAAGCTAGTTATGTGCATAATAGCCTTCTCTTCCATAGCCTTGTGAAGGGAAACACTTAGGAATTACTTCTGCAAAGCTAATCTAACTGAGACCAGAGGAAAAAATAAATAAATTCAGTTCAGTATTGAGGAATTATTGCTGTCTCATAGGAAGTATCTGCTTTCCTACTACAGAATTAAGAACTCAGTCTTGAATTTCAGGCAAATTGTCTCCTGCATATCACAGAATGGTTTGGGTTGGAAGAGACCATAAAGACCCTCTAGATCCAGTCCCCTTTTGCTCAGAGCCCCATTCAATCTGCCCTTGAATACTTCCAGGAATGGGGCAAACAATTTCCCTAGGCAACCTATTCCAGTGCCTTACCACTCTCACACTTAAATAAAATCTTCCTAATATGCATGATTACATACCTATTCACTATTACACAGCAAGAAAAATAACCTATAACAACTGACTGCTACTTAAGTCTGTTCTTAGGTAAGTTACCAGAATACCAGGACCTAGAAAAACACTTGGAGCAACCAAGATTTCCTTGATACTTATTTCATGCAGCCAAACAAGACTTTGTTTTGTCTCATTTGCATTATCCCAAAGGAAATGTTTTGTCAACAACTTATGCTCAGTTTTGAGTCTTCTTCTGTGAGAACTCACTTACCTACTAGCCTACGCATAAGAGAAGTCCGATCTGAATCCAAATCTTTTTTAAAGCTTTCCACTGGTGAAGTTCTTCCTGAACTCGGATATAAAGATGCATGCCACTTTTCTGGATCCCAGACACCATCGCTATGAAAATAAAATTGTAGCATGGCTCATTATTTGTAGCCTAATAAATAATTCATAGTACTGCTGCTGAAAACCTAGAACTCACTGACTAGCAACCTAAACAAACAAAACATCTTTCATACCCAGTTTCTAAATATTTTGCCGTATTATACTATTACTTTGTGGTATTGTGGATACTTTCTGTAACAGTAGGGAAGTATAAGCCAGCATCAGATTATGAAAATGATCTGTTCAACATATGGACATGTTGAACTACCAGTTATTGCTCAGTTTTGCCTGGTACACTGAAAAGTAGCTGAAGTAAATAAAATGCCACTGTTCATTCAGAAAATTTTACCTCAATCTCCTATTTACTTGTACAATGAATAAATCTGAATGATAAAGATACTGCTGCTTAGCAAGCTTATAAACAAAAGCCTAGAACACTCTCATCTTCATTTTTAAATGAGATAAACTGTCAACACTGGAGAGTAATCCACCAAGCAAGTCAGCATGTTGCAACATGACCTAGTCAATCTGTACCATACAGTCATCTATAGTTTTGGTTTTTCCTACAAGCCTGTAAGAATTGTGTTTTGTCAAGTTATTTTCTGCTGGATCTCATATTATAATGTTTGATCAAAGCACAAAATTCCTAGCTAGAGCACTAAGCCTTCCCTAGTAAATTAGTCCTGAAAACACTGTCATACACTAAACTCCAGAGCATTTCTACCTTGTATTAACATAAGTGCACTTCTTAGGAATCTTATGTAATTTAAACTTTCATTTTGAAAGAACTGTATTTAGTTTGTGTAGTCAAGAAAATACCTGTCATATTTTTCAGAAAGACAAGAAGGTCTTTGCTTAGAGTAAGGACGCTCTTTAATATCCAGCAGTTCCTCCTAAAAAAAGCAATAAGTTAGTGCCAATTCTCACCCAGACAAGATGCAACTCATCCAAAATATATATTCCAGACTACCCATTCGATTTAGTGTTGCAATTTGGCAACCCCAAGTTTCCCAATATATTGTATAATTTCCTATGAAATACTGCAGTGAAAAGTTGACATTAGGCAGCAAGCTTATTTTTCAGTTTATCTGCCAGTGGCCACTGAGCAAACACTTATTTGAAGCACTAAGTCAGGGTCAGTTCTTGTGAACACTTGAAAGGCTGTTCCCATCATACATGTTTACCTATTGACTTCCATGGACAGTTCAACTTATAAGCAAGTCAGGCATCATTGATATTGGAGCTAGTAAGTTCTGAAGATGGAGTAAAAATTGTTATGTCCAAGGCTACACAAGACCCAGCAGGTAAAAAAGCACTACCACAACACTACTTACTGAGGCAGATCTGGAAATTCCAGACAAGCTTGCCATTTCTGACCACCACTAGTTCCAAGATACCTAAATGTATGCTGTACAATCATCCACTCCACCAACACCAAATCAATGTTGAACGACTACTTCAATTTTACCATTTTCTAACAGTTTTCAAATACAGCCCTTGGTTTACTATTACACACCCCTAAGGTGTTGGTCATTTCAGGCAGACTAGTAATCAATCTGCAGTTAAAATTGCCTATTTTGCTGGCCACGAGAGGGAGTTCACAGACCCTCAATCAGATCCCACTGCAATTTTTCCACCAAAGAGAGGAAAACCTGAATTGTTTCTTGGTTTTCACTCCTTAGCTGTGCACCCTTGGAGCAACAGCTTCCAAAGAACTAGAATAGACACAGCTTGGACTATATAACACTGATAATACAGCAGATTAACACTGGCACTTCCAGTGTGTGTTTTTGGGGTGGGTTTTTTGTTGTTGCTCCATTCACACACTAGTACTTTTTAAGTGTGTGTGGGAAATGTGGGGGAAAGCTCTTATTAAAACAGTTTTATTCAAACAATTTAGAAGGTTCAAAGTATGAGCCAACTGTTGTAGTAAACTAATATAAACTGTTAAAGTAAATCAGACCCCTCTCCAAGTCAGCAGCACATCCTGCAACAGTGTTCCTCCCATCCCTAATTAGTTGGAAATTGGATCATGTGAAGATGGCTTATGATGTTGGTTACATGAGCACCTTAAACCAGCTATATTTAAGACACAACTTGTAAAAAACCCAACATATGATGCAAGATATTTTAACACATATTGATTTCTGGTGTTTCTTGACTTTAGACTCCATAGAAAGAAACAGGAAAAAATGAAAGACTAAATGTCTTCTGGCACTATTGCTGCAGCTTTATCCTGATCAGAAACTACAGAATTAACAAAACTGAAGCCAGAAATGCATGTTTCAGTGTACAGATACCACCAGCACCAAAAACAAAAAAAAGAGTAGAATTTGAAGCTGCAATCAGTTGCTGCTCCTGAGAGGAGTCAGGCAAGACTCAAGTCACTGTAGATAACACTTTTTCAACAGCAGAAGTTTAAAGATAACTCCTCTCCTTCACTTTAGAGTCAATTGAATAACAAGGTCTGAACACAGAGCACTTTGCATCTTAGAACATTAAGTGCACATCTTTGCTAAGAAGTTAGTGAGAATTAGAAAGGCACATTACTCCCATGTAAGTTTTGCCAGTTCTGAAGTACTTGGTTTACTGTTGATGTCCAGTTAAAATAAGCCAGCCCAACTATCTCAACAGAACAAAGCCACAGCCACATTTTTTTTTCTATAAAAAACAACCTAGCAGGAAGGTAACAGCTCAGAATTCCTCAAGTCAGATAACACAGTCAGCAACAGTACACTGTCTCACCCTGCTCCACACTCCAAGCAAACTTACCAGATTTCCACAAAGCAATGACCACCTGTTCCCACAGCTTTCAGCAATGGGAAAATCAGCTACCATTAAAGACTTCTGAATGTTTTAGCAGCAGTATCAAAACCCCAAACAGGATTTGAACCTTAAATCCCACAATAGATCAAACTCATTCTGTACTAAAATATTTGCAAGTTATTTAGCCCTTCTTCTTCCACTCTTTCATATATTTAAAACTCAAAACTAAACAAAAGCACCTGGGTTAAAATGTTGACACTAAGCACAGGCTGAAATCATAGGTGCTTAGACTTCCAGCAGCCAAATATGAGCAATTCTAAGCTTACAAAAGGCATCTTAGTCAACACATTAAAGCTCCTGATAAGATCTAGTGTGCTATATATTCCAAAGAAGGGGCATCTCCTACCAAAAACCATTCTGGTCAAGTTTTTGGAGGAACAGTGCTGAAAGAAGAAACACAACTATCAAGTGCAAGCACTTGTGAAAGCTGGTAGAACAACATACTTCAGCCTCTACCATAATCTCTCTCCAACACATGCTGTGAGGTGCTTGGATATTAAAATAAGGCAGTGGGAAGCAAAAGTATATCAAGGACACGATTGCACAGGCACAGAAGGTTTAACAAGTTGCTCATTTTACAGCATCTTGCAAATCTTGATCCAGGCAAAGGCTTTCCAGCCTTCACCTCACTGCCTTCCTCTCACAGAAGCCTCCAGCCCCCGCTCTGCTTCTGTGATCAACAACTCCAGGCACAACTTTCCAAGGAAAAGGGAGCAAGCTAACCTTTGTGTAACGATGCGGGTACTTGGTTGGAACTCTGTTCAGCTCCAGGAAAGCATCACCATTTTCAGTTTCTGTCACACCTCCTCTTTTATCCATGGTTGCTTCAAAGCCTTTGACCACGGACCTAATTAAAACGAAACCCAGCCGTCAGATTTTCAGACGCACATCTCCAGCGGGTGTTTCCCTCGCGGACCGGGACTGCCCAGCGCTCAGACACGAGATGAGCAGCGCACTCCCCTGCGGTGCCTTCTCTTCCCCTCGCACTCCCCCCGCTGCGGCCCCGCAGCTCCGCCCGGGCTATCAACCCAAAGCCCGGCTCCCCGGCAGCTTCGCCGCGAC